GAGTGAGTGAGTGAGTGAGTGAGTGAGATGGAGGAGGCGTGAGATGGAGGAGGCGTGAGAGTAGGATGGAGGGCGGGCGACGGGCGAGCGACGGGATGCAAATCAAAGCAAGACCGGCAAGACCCTCACACAAATGTCACAAAGACTTGTAGAAGAACAGAGTCTTGGTTATGGAGATGCATACTGTAGAAATGTCATGAAATGTCCGTCAGATTTCGTCAGGTCCTAAAACCTGTGCCACTTGCATCCGGAATCCTAAAACTTGCCCACATTTGCCCCCCCCCCCAGTGTTCTTTCCATCGCTTCCAAAAGCCCCATGCTGGCCCTTCTGAACACATTCGGACTGCAGGAAGCCAGTCCCGACTGCCCACCTCACAACACTCGGTTCGTGAATTTGGAGTATTCCCGCGCATTGTATGCGTGCGTGTTCTGCCAAGAGGCGTTTGTAGTATCCAGTGCGGTCCCTGCGCCATTCTCCGTGATCTCTTTCTCACTCTCATGTGCACCGTGACAGGCCTCCTGGTGAAGCGTCTTGCGCACCTGGTGCAGAAGGCATCGTTCTTTACCCTTCTGCGCGAAGGGATTTGGGAAGCACATCTGCAACTTCCAACAAACCTATGTCAGCAGCAACTGGTAACTAGTGGAATCCTCCACCAAAAAGACACCAATCACAATCACCAACAAGAGTGACTTGGGCAAATGTCCAATGCCTGAAAAGTTTCCAAGTCGGGCTTGTCAATAAACTGTCGAAGCTGGATATTCTCTGACAAGAGCCGCTGGTACTCCTCTCTCCAGTCGAAAGGCAAAGCTTGGGATTTGCTGCTTGCTTGTTGCACCCCAAACATGGCTAGGCCTGAGAAACAAATTGTTGCTTCAAACCAAATCCCACGAAGGTCAAGGTCTGCTTTTGAGTTCACCTGGTTCGCTCCTGGGTGATCAGGGAGATGCCGTCAAAAAAGTGGCCTAGGATGGCGCTTGGACAATTCTGCCTTCTCCTGTCCATCCAAACCAGCCATCTGACACGAGAGTTTCTTGACCACCAAGCCAACAGCGGTCACAGCATTAGTTAGAACCTTGAAGATAACCAGGGAAGGACGCTTTGCACTTGCTTAGCTGCATGATGCGTGGCGCGTGGCGCGCATTTTCAGCACGTCCCTTTGAAACCCTTTGTGACACCCGCATCAAATATCCTTACGTAAATCATATGAAGCGAAGTGGAGATTCCACATGCAGCTTTCCCACTGCTCCCCAAGCCTGCGAAATGCTGCCAAGAGGCTCTGCATTTCAGCCATGGAGTGAAATCAGGTTCTACACCAGTCTAACCTACCTCCCCTTAACTCCCGAAGCAGAAAGCCCGAGCACAAGGCTGGGGGATTCTCGCCACCTCAGCTTGTGTGCCTTTGCTATCCTGTTTTTTCAGGCTCCTTCAGGGTTGCCACCAACCAATTGGACTGAAGGTGCGCCTGCGGGAAAAGAGATGCGAATGCTTCAATAGCTCCGTATGCCAGAAAACGGGGAAAACGTTGGATGAGCTTTATTCCACCCTGTTCTATTGGAACCAACGCTAGGTGGGACTCTCGGCAACCCTGAATGAGATTCTGCTACCCCACCGGTCCCACGCGTCTGAGAGCCAAGACCAAACTCCCGGGTGACAAGTGGGATGATCCCAGAGTCCAAGCAACCATGAGCGTTCGACCGTGATAGACTCTAATAGACTAACTGATTTGTCTGTAATTGTAAAAGTATTTATATATATATATGTGTGTGTGTGTATCCGCAAGTGGGAATGTCCTTCACTCCTTTCATGAGGATTCACTCTTTTCGTCATGATTATATAATTGATTCGTAATGTTCTTTCTGTGCACTGGATCAACTGCTTTGCACCTCTCCCAACTGTTGCTGGCTACAGTGGCCAGAGCGCCCCTTTGTGTTCCGACATGCTTCAACTGCTTCGGCAGCACATTGTTCCTGAGCCATCCATGCTGACGCATGAATCGTCTGACGCAGGAAACAGGCATCACTCGCTATTCCGCCTTCTCCACCTGACCCAGGGTGGCTTGATGGACCAATTGTGCCTGAGAGAAGCCTAGGCGCCCAAGTTGTTTGGACTTCCACGGTGGAGGTTATCAAACCTCCTGGGCAGTTTCGCCCAAGGCTCCGAAATTTGGAGCAGTGACACAAATGCCTCCAAATCGCAAAGCGCAAAAGCAACAAAAGAGTACATTTGTTGGCTGATGTCAATCGCATGGCAGCCAGCAACCCTTGCACTCTACAAAACGCTTTGTTCATTTTTGTTCATAATTTGAACTTGCGATTTGCTGGAAGATCGAAGTCCTATACCAACTTCGCTAAGTCCACTAGCTATGTTGCGTGCATGGCCATTTTACCCTGCACTCGCATGGCAACATTCCAAACAGTTTGTCCCCTCTACAAAGTACACAGGTTTCGTCAATCTGGGCACATTACTGGATTTCACAGATTCCACGATCGAAAACCAAGGAATCCAAAAAGCACTTGGTGGGTACGCATGTGGTCACCCGAACAGAACACTTGGAACGTCGTCCAAGGGCTGCTTCGAGCCTGCTTCAGCCTCATTCCTCAACCGAATCTTTCGCCGGCCTTGGCGAAGAGTATACAGTGCTAAGACAGTTGTATAAGGGTCTTGGTCTTGGTCTTGCCTCCTTGGCGACTGACTTCGTTGCAGCAAATGGCAGCGGGTTACATTCACTCTTTGGCAGCTGCGAATGACTATGCTTGAACATTTATCTCTGGGCAAGGCTCTGAGGCAGGTGAACCCCCATCTTGCAACGTCCATCAGCTTCCCTGATAGCCGATAGCATGTAAGACTGCTAAGATCTAGTCAATCTAGTCTAGGAGCTTTTTCCAAGTCCAAGATCTTCTTCAGCTCAGCTCTCTCCCCTTCTGGATCGTCACTCCTATTATTGATTACCCTTTTTTCTCACCTGACCCTCTTCGCTAACAATTCTCACAGCTCTTCTTGGCACCAGACCTTTCAATTTTTGGTCTTAAAAAGTTGAGGTACAAATTCCGGAACGGCCTGGCACGCGAGGAAGCAGCGCACAATGAAACTATTTCAGCGTCTGCCAAAACGTACTGTCAAGTCGCTTTTGAGGGGCCTATCGCTTTTGCAGTTTTTAGCTCAATTCCTGAAATTCACGACCCCTCTCTACTGAATAAGTAATCGCAAGTTTTGGTGCTTGCTCATATGTCTTTTTTAAAGGTTTAACCCTAATTCATGATTTGTTCGGTGATGACAAGCAATAAACAAGGATTGCAGGGTAAAAAAGCGTTCATGTTACCATGTTCCGCAACATGACTGCAGGTGTTCGCCTAGCATCCCAACTGTTCAGCAAGTTTTCTCTGGGGTCACAAGCCGGCCACACCATGGCAGGCACCAAACTGGGCCGGTAGCAAAGCCGTGGAAATTGCAACGCGACTCTGGTGTCTTTGGGGTCAACTCCAGTACGAAGATGCCAGCAGGTCTTTGAAGAACATTCCTATTTCAAAATCTTGGAAGTGAGTCTCAGTAGCTTCAGGAAGAAAGAGAGTCTGCGTTGTGTTAAAAGTAAGCTATTAACTTCACAAGTTCACAAGACATCTCATAAGTGACTAGCAAACAACCTGCTGACTGACTGGTCAGTTCATCAATACAATGGTTAAAAGGTTCTCTTGGCAGCTGGCCAACATAGTCGTACTCCTGTCAGTTGCAAACAGCGGAACGTCAGCCGGACAACAGTAAATGTCTTGCTACCAATCTGATAGACATCCAGTAGATGTACAGCAAATACAACATAGCGTACACCCGCTGGTGTGATTTGTACGCTGATGGTTCAAGTGCTTCCTATAAAAGCTCTCCACAGCTCCTTCCACCTGTACCGCTCAATGGAGCCAGCGGCCACTCGGACCTTTTGATACCTGGGCATATCTGCTGAGTCCTGTTCTTCACCCTAGCAAACTCATTGAAATAAGACCCTATTCAACAGCCCACCCCAGATCAGATTCTTCTCTAAGGCTGGCAAACTTTCTGTTGTAGTTGTAGCTGTGTTTAAGCTTAAGTGTGTTTAGCTTGGTACTTGAATTACAGAACAAACTGTCACAATTCCTGCACAAACAAGAATTGGACATCAACATGTTCATACATTTGCACTAAGAGCAGGACTCATGAATCAGCACGGCGATCCAGCAGTTCACAAAGACCAACCTCAGCAGTTTCACTTTGCACGAATGAATGGAATTCTCTGTGAACAACATTGAACAAATTCCTGATTATGTCTTGGCATCAAATTCATTCAAACTCCTCATTAATCTACCGATGCTGAAAGCCAAACCTGCATAAGAACCACCACCTCTCTGTGAAAAGCTACAGCTCATTTGGGTTTATTTGGTCCGTTGAGTTGAGTCACAACTGTGTTGATTGCCAGCGCCAGTCACAGCTGTGATGTCAAGTTCTGATATCTTCAGCTTCGCACCTGGTGAAATAGTAGAGGCAAACGTTGAAACTCAACCTTGGCAAATCTCACACCCGGCAAAGGGTCTTTCCTAGCTGCCGAAGAGTTCCAGCTCCGCATGCTGAAAAGTTTGGGTGTTCCGAAGCAAGTCTTGAACTGGCAATGCGCGAACTGGATCAAACGATGACTTGGTTCCCAGCTGCCACCCACGATTCGGATCATAGTCCTCGAAAAGCACGCTCGGAATTGATCGATATGTCAAGATCCACTTTTCAGGTGCCTAAACTGGAGCTCTTTTGAATGGAGGTCTTTTGGTCAACCAAAGCTTCCCAACTCCCAACTGCTGTGTTTCCCATGCTGCAACGACATCTAGTGCAGCACTTCCCCGTTGGGTAAGCCACTGGTAGGACAAAGACTCCTCTGACACCTGGAGCCTATAGATACGTCAAGCTCAGATGAGCTGCAAGTCAATTCCAGAACAAACGAACTTAACTTTGAATGGAATTGCCTAAGTCCGTCCTTGACTGTCTCGACCTCCGCGTAGATCAACAGCATCACTCGCATGGCGGAAGACCAGAAGGTCCTGACAGGGGGTCGCTTGATCAAGCGAGATATTGATATTCAAAAATGGCTGAGATGTCAATTCAACTGCAGTTCCGTGCACCGTTTGCCTGGGGACTAATTCTCACATTAACATTGCCTACCACAGCAAACCACGCTCACTCCTGTTCATCTCATCATAGGAGGAACCAACGGCCATACTCACAAAAATCAACCCAACAAAGACTGGCAGGCCAATGGTGAGAAGCCTAGCCAAGCAGCCGTGGCGGTTTACATTCAACAAGTCCAGACCTATTGTAGATGATCTGTCTAGAGCATCACAATGATTTGAATCGTTGCAGACTTCTTTTTCATGTCTTTTCATCTGTTGAATTCCAACAAATGATCTTGCGAAAGTACAGCTCGTGATGGCACCTGAAAGCCACGATGGCGGCTTGTTGTACCGTGGTCCAAATCAGGAAGAACTGGCCAGATTCGCAGGACAAGTCGGGCAAGTGCACTCCAAAAAGCGCCCTTGTTTCAAGTGCTCTGACGGCTCTGATGTGTTTGGGTGATGCTTCTTGGAGTTTCAGCAACTGCACTCCAAAAGATTGGAAGAATGACGGAGTCGGGAGCACATGGCGGTTCACGCGCATGAAGAAGGCAAAGCGGTACAAGAGCAGCCCCTAGGCACGGCCATGGTGAATCAAGGTGTCCATTCTCTGAAAAGAAATCTTCTATATGGTGCTTTTTTTGCATGTTTCACTCATGCCAACTCCACCAGTTTGCCTGGCGGATTGTCCGGAGATCTTTCCGTCCACCACTATATACCTTTAATATTGTCGTTGTGTTGGTCTCGTATTTTTGTTGTATATTGTGGCTTTACAGTTGTGTTGGATGACTGAAGCAATCTGAAGCACAAGTAGTGTGCAGAAATGTGCACAGAGTGTGAGGTCGGGCTGCATATCGTACTGCCCATCGCTGTCTTATCGGCCTGAATTTCTACCGGGCTTCTGTGGGATAGTGCACCACCGGTATGAGCAACGCAAAGGCTGCAAGAGAAGGTTTATCTTTCTTGCAGTGAAGGAGGCATGTTTCTGACACAAAAAATGAGACGCAAACATTAAATTTGTGACCACGAGGGTTTGATACATCTTTAATTTATATCTGCTGTATCATGTCATCGAGCAAGCCCGACAGAATGATAATGTACAAAATGCAAATAACACCAAAGGACTAAAGCTTAGTTTCCGACAAAATCTCGGAACCATTTCATACACCGAGCGTTCTTCAAGGAGTTTGAAGAGACTTCCTTGCTGCTACTTACTTGCCTCGTCCTACTGTACCACGAACTATTATCTCGCCTGCGACCCAATGGTACTAGGTTGGAGGCCATCGCCAGGAAGTTGGAGGCCATGGCTACTAGGTTGGAGGCCATCGCTCTTTCCTCCCCAAAAGTGCAAAGCATCAGAGGCACAGAGATCACCGCATCGATGGCGATGTGAAGCTTGAACTGTTTTGCAAGCTCTCCAGCCTCGGCCAAACGGCCAAAGCGTCTCCCCTAAGAAACTTTATGAAACATTTATATACATTGCTATGTTACTAGCTAAGCTATACTGCACTCCCTTGGTTGCTACTTGACTTCCCAGATGAAGAGTACGTGAAAGTGTGTTTGTTCTTCGATTATTTGCCGATTATATATATTCTATTAGACGCTAAGGCGTTAGAAGAGTGGTGAAGTCTAGATTTCTCTAATGTGTTTCTGGGCGTTGTTCACTAGGCCTTTGCCAACCGCAGCAAGCGGCACATCAATTCTGGCTCGGGCTGGCTGATTGATTTTTGACCCTTCACGGCTAAGTCCCCCTGGCGTCTAAGGGTGTTTGCGCATGTTGCACAAAGTAGTCGATGGACAGCACCTGAGATGCAAAACATCTGAGTCCGACAAAAAAATGGTTATATAAGTTATATATAGTATATGTAGTCATATATGCAATACATATCCAGCTGAGAAGGCAGGGGACGAAAGCCAGCCTCCGTAAGAAGAGATCAATATGGTCAGGGGGGGTGAACGCGAGAGCGGAAGCTCTGGGATGTAGCAGTCGGGGCCGATATGACAGGCCCTCAATCACAGGTGGGGGGGGATGGGGTGCCCTTTTTCTTTTGGATGAAGGGGCGTTTTGAAGAGAAAAAGGGGCACCCAGAAGTCACTGAGAGGCGCTTGTCTGCGGTTTGTTTCTCGTGTTTTGTAGATGGACTCATAAACCTGGTGCGCTGTTAAGAGTGGACCGCCGTATTGTTATGGGGGGAGTCGACATGGCGGTGATGTCCACTGCTGCTGGAAATCGAAAGCAGAAGATATGTGTTTGGGGGGGTTCGCTTTGTCCTTCGACTTAAAGGGCGTTTTCAAGCTGAGAAAGGGCACCCCCAAAGAATCGGCGGGCGCTCGCATGCTGCTCGTTATTGACGGTGGTCCGTTGTTACAGCCAAGATCAAGTGAGTGTTTAACATCGGGCAAAGGGTAGCTTTGTTATGGGGTGAAGTCGACATGGTAGCCACGGTGATGGGTGGTAGAAACCAGAAAGCAGAATACATAGTACAGGGGGTGCACTTTTTCTTCGCGGCGTTTTCAATGGGCACCCCCGAGGAAGTGGCTTGGCGGCTGTTTGTTGTTCTTGTCTTGTAGATGGAGTATGATGGAGTCATAACCTCGGCGCGCCGCCAAGCGGATTGATGGAAGTCTACTGCGAAGATCACGGATTGCCTAACATCACTTCTCACTTTCCCGATGAGCTCCCGACCTCTGCTCCCGTCACGGCGCGCCCCCCTTTCCGCCTAACTCCCTGGGATAGCTCGGCGCCCTTTTGCATTCGGTTAACAGCCCTCTTCACCATCACAAGGAGAATCCTCAAGCCACATTGCCTTCCTTGCTTGTCACGGACTGCATTCTGTTCCCTCTCCTATCCGCAACGGATAACATCCTGGCTGACGTTCCCTTCCACTCTCATTAACCACAAGTAAGTGATGGTTGAGAAACGCACATCTCACTTTCCTGCAGTATTCCCGGCATCTTTTCCTGTCGCGTTGTCCCCTTCCCTCTACTATCCTCTAGAGGTCACGTTCTCTCCAGAGCGCTGAGCGACGCACTTCTCCCTGCCCTGGTGAGCTCCCCACCTCTGTTTGTATCGCATCTTCCCCGGGTATGCATATCCTCCACATGAAATCCAACCCATACAGGTGCCCTAAGCAACTCTAAGCTTGCCCACTGCACTCTGTTCCCTCTCCTGTCCTCAACGGGCCACATCGTATCACGTCCTCCTCCGCTATTCCTGCCTTCCACATGAACTCCATTTGGGGTGCACTTTTGCGTCTGGCTACCAGGCCTTTTCACCATCAAGCAACTCAAAGCTTGCCAACTGCATTCGGTTCCCTCTCCTGCCTTCAACGGATCACATCATTTCTTGCAATCCCTTCCACTCAGATTAGCCACAAGGAAACAGAGTGTTGGGAGATGCAACCCAACCACTCCCACCCCTGGTAGCAGACTGTTTATATAAATAGGCTCCAACCACTTTTCGCGTCCCGTGTCCCGTGTCCCCTCTTTCCTCTCCCCGACATGAACTCCCACCCCTGGTACAATAAGACTGTTTAAGTTGCCTCCTGAGCCCCTCATGACGCTAATGAACTCTTCGGCGTCAATTACATCACTTGCATCACAACATCCCATTTTCACTCGCATTCAAACGCACTCCCTTTTTCACTCTCCCCCACCAGGCTCTGGGCTCGCCCTACCAGATTGGCCCTCTACGCGACCACCCACACACCCTAATACTCACTTCGTTCGCCCATCGACAACTCCAGCCTAGCCTATCGGCTGGCTTTCGTAAATATGTGCAGGGGTCGTTTGTTATGTTCGTGACTTTTTGAAGATACAGTAATCCAAACTAGCGGGAAGCAACAGAATGAGAACTCACCACCTTGGAGAAGCCAACTCGACAACAAAGGTTCAATGTGTACTAGTATATATTTTATATATTTTTATATTAATATATACGGAAGTTCTGAAATTACGGATGCGTAGTCCTTCAAAGCACATCTCTCCACTGGGATCACCACGTTAAAGTTGCCATAGCGCAAGCCAAACATCACGAAGAAGGTAACACCCAAGGCCAAGTCAACCAAGCCCTGGTCGAGGCATGTCAAGCGGAGCAGCCAATCTCAATATCCCATATCATGACTGCCAAGGTGGAAAAACCGGGTTGTCCTTGTAGGTGACACCTGACTGTCACTTCCAATCAGTCACCTGTTCATCTGTATATGCTTCCTCGGTGTATTTCTGCTTGTGCGATGGGAAGCGCCTGGACGGAGTAGAAGTGCTTGCAGCCAGAACCATTCACCCGTCTTTCGTACATGAAGTCCCAGTAGATCTGCAACGGATGGAACATGATGGAACTGCGATAAAGTGGTGGGATCCGGAATTATCTTTTCTATTGCAAAGCAGAGCACGGCCCGTGGGCCGCGCAACACCCAGAACCCCACCTGAAGTGGGCAGATCAGCAACACGAAGAAAAGCCTAGGTGGTCAGGTTGGTTGCCGGGGCGCTCAATCTTTGCAGGGCATCATACTACATAAAAAGATCCAAACATGCAAGTCAACCAGGACTTCAAGTGTGACCAAGGATGATCACGCCAGTCACCCTGTAAGATCTCCACCGGATCACGTCGGTCAAGAGCTGCTGAAGGCCAATGTTGTACTCGATAATGCCCGGCCTAAACAAGGCTTGTCTTTCGCACATTGTCTGAAGGAAGGAAGGAAGGAAGGAAGGAAGATTCATGCGCTGAAAACCAGGGCTGTATCAGAAGGAAGGTCATTGTTTGGAAGGGTGGGACCAACGGACCAACTGTGGCCGGCACCTAAAGATCGTGACCTGCGCGAGCGGCCGGACCACGCCAAAGCCGGTCATCTCAACGCTGTACCTTCACAACAGGCCTCACAACATGACAGCATTCGTTGCTACAACAATTTCGCTCATGCCACATCATCTATGAAGTCCTATCACTTGGGTATGGAGAAAGTAAAACGATGTCTTCCACACCAGTACCACATGCCCCTGCATAGGTATTGATCCAATAATCACCCCAGTTCATGCAACCGATCGCAAGTTCCAGCAATCATAAGGCAGATTGATGTTCACGCATGTCATGGGCACCGGTTGGAAATGAATCGGTCGTAGTTCGAGTTATAGAGCAAAAAACTCAAATGAAGAGCGCGACTTTCAGGGCTCAACCTCGGTCTGCAAGATCTGGATCTGAGAGGGAAATCCAGTAGTAGCGTCCTTGCTCCTAGTAGTAAGGCCAGGAGCCCCGAGTAGCGTACTTGCATGAAGCATGTAGCTTTAGAAAGCGTAGAAAGCGTATATACATATTCATATGCTTTACATCTTGATGTTTCTTGGTCTTGCCAAATGCAGCACTTCCACCGATTTCAATTCCAATTAAAGCTTAATTAAATCGTAATTCTAGTTATTGTTTGTGTCTAATAGCTTCTTGCTCCTAGTAGCGATGCCAGGAGCCCCTAGTAGCGTGGTCCTTGCTCCTAGTAGTAAGGCCAGGAGCCCCTAGTAGCGTCCTTGCTCCAAATCCGGGCCTATAAGACCTTGACACACTAAAACCTCCGAGGCTGCCGCCAATTCTGGTTCTGCAAGAACTCCATGTCCGTCAGAAAAGCCCCACGAACCGTCTCCAAAGGCGAGAATTGCAAGTCATACTCAATGCCTTGGTCGAAACGGATCAGCATAGCTTGAGTCTTGTTCCAAGCACGGCAGGGTGGGGACCAGCTCGATTACAGGAACCTGAACGAATTTGATTTCTCAAGTCACCTCGGCAGAAAGAGAGAATAGAGAAACATAAACAGGCTTTCTTTCAATGAATTGGGGTGCCTATAGAAATTCTCTGTTCATAGCCTATCCTTCTTTCGTCCTCGCATAGTGCCGCTTTGTATTACTTAAACAATCTTCTGTACAGTACTGTAAATGTTCTATAAAGTTCTTGCACCTTGCTGATCTCAGCACACTCAGTGTGGAAACAATCCCCTGCTACTGGACACGGTGTTGTTGCAGTGACTTCCTTCATAGACTCGTAATCACTCGTAGTGCTTGATCTTGACAACCAACTGGGCTTCGCTGCTGTATCCGGAGCCATCAAAGTCCCAGAAGCTTCCAGCAATGGAAGCCTCTCCTGTCAAGAAGTCTGAAACAAAGGTTGAAACCAGTGGGTATTGTTAGACGGCTGATGAACAGAAGTGAAGAAATGGACAAATGACATCAAATGACCACTTGCAAGACACCTTTCTAACAATCATCGCAAACATCAGATCGGCCGTCGTTGGGCCAGAGTCTCGCTCCATCTACACTCTAAAGCTGGCTAAGCTGCCTTGAACTTGCGGGTGTTGGGTCCAAGCATCCAGGCGCTCAAGGTTTAGGAAAAACTGAAGACACAAGACCAACTGACTCTTCCAAGAGCCACGGCTAGCGTGCTCACCCAGAAGCACTGACCAGGCTGGGCATAGTTCTCACAAAGGTCTCACGACTCTTCTTCAAGCGCTTCTTGCAACATGCTGACCGCGTCCTCCAAAGCCTCTCGACCTTCATGAAGGGCCTTCTCTGCAAACTTCTCAGCTTCAGGATAGCCCCTCGAGGCCTCATCGCTGGCAATGCGATCTGCAAACCTGGCAGAGCCTGGGACAGCAGTTTGGCACAAGCCAAGGAACAAACCGCATTGTGATGGACTAGATAAAGGAAACGGACTCGTCTAGATTCTAGATGAGTGTAAAGAATTTCAAAACAGCCCGTCCGGGTGTTACTCCCCCATTATTATAGCTCCTTCACCATATGGTGGGGTACTGGAAGGACTTATCCGAAAATATAGATATATATTGTATAATATAATAAGTTGAGTACGTGTATAATACAACTCCATGATGTCCTATCAGCACCAAGGCCACCAAGGGTGCGCAAAAGTCAACCAAGAAACAATCAAGACAATCAATGTATGACTGTATGACCCAACAAAGACAAACAAAGCCTGTTCGGGGTTTGGAGGCTCTAACAATCTCAAGCATGGTTGCTGCGGCAATTGCAAACCCCAACCGATCAAATTGAAATTTAACAAAAAGCAACAACGGCTTGCATAGCTTGCAAACGCTTACTTACAGTAGCCTGAGTCATCAACAATGCCATTGCCAGCAATGAAGTATTCCACCACAGAAGCAATATCTTCAGCCGCGTCCATGCCCCGCTTCCGGATCACTTCCCGACTGGATCGGCTCTTCACTTCTCCAAGCTCGAAGTCCAAACGTCTTTGGGGCTCCGACCACTGGAACCACTGTGCCAAGCGCTGTCGAAGACCCATGCGAGGCCCACGCGCGGCGTAGTCATCCTCAATGGACACCAGCGCGCTCAAGGCCTCCGTGAGTGGCACTGAGGGCGGTGGCTTGGAGACGGTGCTCACGAAGCCGCCAAACAAATAGAAGAAGATGAGGCCCAAGATCCCCACGGGAATCAAAACGATGCCCCAAATGAAGTCTAAGGCTACTGCTTGCGGATTGCGTCCGGTCTCCACTGGGGGATCACCTGATCCCTTCCCCACAAGCTCAGGCGGTTGCACCTGACCTTCCCCATAAAGCATCGTCTTCGTTGTCTTTGTGGACAACCGTGCCCACCCACAGAAGGTCGGACAGCCGCAAACAAGGAGTGACAAGTAAAGCAAGGCCCATGATTTCTTGTGCCTTGCTGTGCACTTCATTGGGACAAATCTCCTCAAAAGCCGAGGTGTTCCTGTGAGTGATGCATCAAACGGGTTCCTTTGAGCCTTTGAGTAAGAGAAACCTCGGGACTGCTATCCACATTGAATAGAGTGTTCAAGACTTCCTGCCCGTGGGCATGTTTTATCAATGCAGCATGCATGCTGTGAGCCAAACAAATAGTGCGCAGTGCAGCCGCGAAGCGCAGCATCAACATGTGATTTTTGTGCGTGGGGTATCAGGAGCAGCTGACAAATGCCCTAGCTTTCCATGAATCAAAAGAACATCGGTGGATCACTAGTTGGCCTGCCGCAGATGTGCTTCGTTCTTCTCCGAAGCTCCATGGCTGAGTATTGATGTGGCGGCCATCCTCAGCATCATGTCCGGTCCTCTCTTTCTACATTGTCACAGATGGGTTACTTTCCACTGCAACTCCATGACTGCAAAAGAGTGATCCGACTATTGTGAGTAAGACGTTAGTAAGACGTCTCTACAAGGGGCCTGTTCAAATCATCTCACACCAAAGCCCCTGAGCCCCTGAGCCCTTCACGAATCCGGACCTGTTGGTGAAGTAGTCTTCCACCTCGACATTAGTGCTGGTCTCTGCCTTGGATGGGCAGGGGCCCTGGTGCGAAGTGATATGTCTCAACTGCAAAGTTGCTTGTATGAACGTACTTCCATTGGGGAAGGTTTGTTCAATATTTGCAGGTCTTGAACAGCAAAATTTCTTTGGGAAAGATTTGTCATGTGCACTTCCCAGTAGAATTCACACTTCAAGAGTCAAGTAGAGCTGCAAGCAACTATCAATGCTTTTGAGTCTGTCAGAGTTATGTCATCAACTATCTTTTGGGGGTCTCAACGACAGGATGGAGGTTTGCGTCAGGGGTGAAAAGCACAGTTGCCAAAGCTGCTCCTTTTCATTCTTCTTTCAGGCTCCGCAGCTGAGTAGAGGCTTTCAGAGATGTTTCCAAAGCTGAGTAGTAGAACTCTTCCGGGGTTCTCCACATGGGGGTTGTCCAACAAAGCTCTTCTTTTTGAGCTTGTATCGCCGGCCTTTCGCGACCCTTTCGCGTTTGCAGAAAAACCACAGGTTTTCCTTTCGCGCATTGTGATGAGCTTGTTCCATTGCACTGAGTTCACAGTGTTTGGGACATCTAAATCCCTTTTAGTGCGCTGAGAAGCAGGCTAATTACCCTTTGTCAATTCATACTTGAAACAAAGGTTTCAAGGCTTATTTCAAGGCCATGGGCAAATGCCCTTCCAGGCAATGCGCTCTTTCGCGGGCCTACCGCCGGCCTTTCGCAGCCCTTTCGCGAAAATCCGTGTTTCTGTTCAGGAAAAAGGATGTGTCATGTATTATGCACATTGTATGTAAGTCTAGGTTGGCACGTGTCTTTCGCTGTCCTATCGCCGGCCTTTCGCGGACTGCAGTTTCCCTTTCGCGGCATGTTTGTTTTAACAGTTGATCGAAATTCCTTCACTGGCAATAACGGACCGCCCTCACATGACATCCACATCATCATTCCAGCACGACCCAACAGCCCCACAACACATTTTAAAGTATTCTAATCACTCGACTCATCAATGACAACATCCATACATCGATGACAGTGTCGTGAAACCGAAGACTATCTTGTGAAATCGATGACGACGTTCTCCACACAAATGTCAGAAAATGTCAGAAAAAGGCACAAAACACAACGGCTGTTGTGGGCGGTGGCCAAAAACAAGCCGCATTATCCAATCTAAACAGCAACCACACATGTTCCGTGCCATGCCCTCGACTTGAACATGATGATGCCTTTGAATGCTTTTGGCAAAAAATTGAAACGGACCCTACTAGGGAGATCCAAATGACTCATGAGCCAAACTCCAAGGTCGCCGATCTGGGCTCCATGCAGTCAGGGCTGTGTATTGTGTTGCAAAGCCTCGTAAGCGATGGGATTTGAATATAATATAGCTATGTTTTCTAGATGTTTCTTCTCAGATCGTGCTATGGCGCGTTGATATTTTCCAGGCAGAATTCGGTTTCGTTGGCAAAACCTTGGCCCTGCGTATTCAGAGGGTTTATAGTACTTATATAAATAAGATCTTTTGAGCACCAGACATGTCACATTCACAGGTACGGCATAAGCAGAGTCCTGGGAGCAGGAGCTGAGACCCAAGGCAAGAGCCAGCGGCGGTCTGGAAAAGGTAAGTGGACATTACCAAAGTAGATACGTGCAAGTCATTTGCAAATCCACAAAAAAAATTGAATTACTTCTTTCAGTATGAAAATGCTTCAAGAATGTCCTCACAAAAGTGTTTCCAAGAGAATCTGCAAGCCAGCCTAACTCCATGATTACTTTGGATGTTCTTCCCCCGGCTCTCCAGCTGTGCACACCGCGCAGCCGTTGGCGGCTGAACCTCCTGCAAACGTACCTGCAAAACGGATTGTTGAGAAAGATTCAACTAAACAACTGGCAAACACAAAAGTGTTCTTCTAGATTACTGTCTGTATATAATCGTTTTAGGAAGAAGTTCAGCCAGTTACGGTCTACCTGCAGGCCTGCAAATAGCCCACGGGATAATTGTATGTGCGCAAAGGTGATGACTTGACCAAGAGTTGGTCCTTGGTGGTCGGACATCTCTTGGTGGGGATGAGTCTTGTGAGATGAGTGCCTTTCAGTGCAGCCTTCACCCTGCAAGTATCTTTAAGTGAAATCAGGAGGGGACACTTTGGGCATAGAACTTGGAATGACAACTGTTCTCCATCAGCCACCTCTAACACCTCTAAAGATTCACTCTTCATTCGGAGTACTGGGCTTTGGACAGCCACCGTGTCAGAGAGCCTCTACAGTTGCTGCAGAGCGACACCAAGCAAGTGAGTTCTGAAACCCTGGTGCGCTACGTCGCGCTGTTTGCGTCAAAAGAAAGACAACCTGAGAAGCTGCAAAACGAAAGCCAGCGCTTCCCTTTCTCGACAACTGCGCATCGAAGCAATCAAATGAGCTCGCGCAGCCGCTTGCGGCCGCGTGTCAAATCTGCTTCATGTCTTGTTCTGCCCACACATAGGTAACCATGCAAAAGCAAATGCACTCTTGCATCACCACCCGCTCCAAAATCACTAAAACATCACCTCCAAGAGTTTACGTATACCTTTCTCGGGCCACCCGGCCCCCCCGACCCCCGACCGACTTCACACATAGATAATTCACATCCACATTCAGATGAAGCAAAAGCCAAACAATGCACCAAAGTTCGAGGTGGCCTGGGACCAGAGGCTCGCTGCCCGAAACTATATGTTCAGGCCACCTCAGAAATGAAGATATGCGAAGCAAGGGTCCTGAGGTCCAGCCTGAGGTGTCTCTGTGACAAGGCTTTTGTTAAAACAGACCGTTTTTCAAGCTAAATTCAAGGTGGCCTGAGACCAGGGTTCGCTGCCCTAAAACACTCTGTTCAGGCCACCTTAAAAATGAAGGTCTG